CAGTGGGCAATGCAAAAGTCTCATTTTCCTGTGACGCATGGAGACACCATTGAAACCAGCTCCCCCAGAGATGAAAGGCTATTCGGCAGCTTTGGATGAGTCTGCTGAGACCACTTCTCATGAACTCACCATGCCAAATGATTTGATTGGCTGCATAATCAACTATCAAGGAGCCCAAATCAAAGAGATGCATGAGATGCCTGGGGAGCAGCTCAAAATTTTGAACCCAGTAGAAGGATCTCCTGATAGGCGGGTTAACATCAGTGGCTGTGCTGCCAGCATTAGCCTGGCTCAATATCTAATTGATGCCAGGATTTCCTTGGCTTGGGGATCGGCTTGAACCATGCAGATCATCCATTCACCCTTTCTGTTGCTTGCCACCACCCATCATCCCTCAGTATCATTTGTCAACAATCGGCGATGCCAGATTTTAAACAGTTTGTAAATGTTCATTTTCTACACCTAACCACCCACTCGTGACTTTTTTACTTAGAGTGTTTTCATTAAAAAACATATTACTAGGGTGGGATCTTTTGTGTGTGTGCACAGGAGTTTAATGTTCAGGAAGTCCCAGTCATCTCATTTGTTGTCTGCTGTGTGTGAAGTTGTACTTATATTTGATAGTACATTGATGTCATGTATTCATGCCCCTAAGTTGGTCCCTGCTTTCTGGTCTTTATTGTTTTAGGTTTTACATTTAGGTCTTTGATCCATCTTAAATTATTTTTTTAGATAGTGTGCCACCTGGGCCCTGTTTTTTTTTTCCTGAAAATTGATATCTAGTTTTGCCAGAAGAAAATGAATAAAGCCAAGAAATAATGAAAAGATCATCCTCTTTCTGCCTTATTTCATATGAGGCTAGGTAAAATGATGACTGTGAGTGGTTGAGAGGAGAGGAAGCGAAGTGATGGCTGCTTGCCTCCGCTCCTAGGACAAGATGAAGAAATCAAAATATTCAGTTTCTCCAAGAGGAGAGATATTCCTTCTCTGGAAATCAGAGACCAGCCGATTCCAATGCATTTTAAGTGGATTTTTTCTTGGCAAAGAAAAAATAGTGGGCAGGTCTGGTGTGCTGGGGGGAAGGGGAGAAAAGGCAAATACACTATTGCATCATTGCTAGCGGGAGGAAAAATTAGGGATCATAGTCCACCGGTACGAGTGCTGGTGGTGTAGTGGTGAAGAATTAGGCTGTATTCTGCAAGGTAGACCGTTTGAAAACACCAGCCAAAGAGAAAGACCGGTCTTTCTACTCACAGAAAGAGATCAAAATGGTAAATCTGGCTTGAACAGTTGCGACCTTGTCAGTTGATTCCCCCCAGTCGCACCCCCCACCTCTGCCCCATGCACGTTGGGCCTGATCTGGTTTTCAACATTTTCTGTCCTTTGTTTTGTTTTCATATTGGGGTTCAGTTCTGATGTATTTTTTCATTGGGGGCAGCCCTCTTGAATTATTGTTATATGTTTTTCACGATATGACACCCAGAGAAAGCATGTAGAATGAGGGTTCCTGTGGGGGTACAGTGAGGGAAGGGGGTAGAGGAGAGTGGATATGAAGGAAGTCAAGAAGGAAGAGAATGTTTTGAAATTTATTATGGTAGTAATTATACAATACAGCTTGATCTGATTGAACTATGGAATGATATGATATCTGTATTAGTCCCCCCCTCAAATGGTTTTGGAAAACAAACAGTCACAGTCTCAGAAACTCATAGAGGCAGTTCTGCCCTGCCCAATAGGGTCACTATGAGTCAGCATCGACTAGATGGCAGTGAGTTTGAGGTTTTTACAAGTCCATTGGTGATGTGTAGCTCAGGTGATCAAGAGTTGTGGGGAGAGGAGGTCTTTCTGGTCTAGCTCTCGGCTTCCTGCTGACCTTAAAGAGATGCATTTCTAACCAAGTGAAGGAAAAGAAATCGTTCCTATAGGAGTATGTTACAGGGGAGACTTAGGGCAAGGATGGAGTTGGGGGACAGATATTTGGAAGGACAAAGTCAAATTTCCCTGAAACTTCACTTTATTCACCAGCTAGTTTTAATTCTTAAAAAAAAAATAAATCATTTCATTGGGGGCTCTTACAGCTCTTTTTTTTCTTTCTTTAAAAATAAACATTTTATTGGGGGCTCGTGCAATTCTTATCACAATCCATACATACATCAATTGTATAAAGCACATTTGTACATTCATTGCCCTCATCATTCTCAAAACATTTGCTCTCCACGTAAGCCTCTGGCATCAGCTCCTCATTTCCCCCTCCCTCCCCGCTCCCATCTCCATCATGAACCCTGCTGATTTATAAATTATTATTTTGTCATATCTTGCCCTGTCTGATGTCTCCCTTCACCCACTTTTCTGTTGTCCCCCAGGGAGGAGGTTATATGTAGATCCTTGTAATCGGTTCCCCTTCTCCTCCCTTCCCTCCCTCAACCCTCCCAGTATCTACACTCTCATCACTGGTCCTGAAGGGATCATCTATGCTGGATTCTCTGTGTTTCCAGTTGCTATCTATACCAATGTACATCCTCTGATCTAGCCAGATTTGTAAAGTAGAATTGGGATCATGATAGTGGGATAGAGGAAGTATTTAAGAACTAGAGGAAAGTTGTATGTTTCATCGTTGATTTCCTGCACCCTGACTGACTCATCTCCTCTCCACGACCGTTCTGTAAGGGGGTGTCCAGTTGCCTACAGATGGACTGTGGGTCTCTACTCTGCACTCACCCTCACTTACAATAATGATTTTTTTGTTCTTTGATGTCTGATACCCAATTCCTTTGATACCTTGTGATCACACAGGCTGGTGTACTTCTTCCATGTGGGCTTTGTTGCTCCTGAGCTAGATGGCTGCTTGTTTATCTGCAGCTCTTACAACTCTTATACTAATCCACACATGAATTGTATCAAGCACATTTGTACATATGTTGCCGTCATAATTGTATCTTTAAAAAATCATTTATTGGAGGCTCATACAACTCTTATCACAATCCATTCATTGTGTCAAGCACATTTGTACATTTGTTGCCATTATAATTTTCAAAATATTTTCTCTCTACTTGAGCCCATGGGATCAGCTCATTGCCCCCCTCCCCACCCCCTCTCTCTCATGAACCCTTGTTAATTTATAAATTATTATTATTTTCATCTTATAAAGTCCACTGTCTCCTTTCACCCACATTTCTGTTGTCTGTCCTCTGGAGGGGTGGTGGTGATGGTGATGGTTACTTGTCAATCATTGTGATTAGTTCCCCCTCATTTTAATTCTAAATGATGCAGAGAGAGATGGTGCTGGGGAGCCAAGAGCTAAAGGTAGGATGCCTTTGACAACCAGAGTCCTGATATATAAGGAGCGTAAACTGTGGTCTACCCCCCAGCACTAAACATATACTGACTCTTAACTTCTGGCTGTCCTGTTTGTTTGCAGGGAATGACACTACCCAAAATAAAGTAAGAAAATGACAGCATATTTGGTAAAACTGAAGCAAGCTTGGGGGTCTTCAGGGAAATGTGAAGTCTCAACCAGTCATAAGGGGTGGTAGCGGAAAGTGAGAAGCCAGAAAGTGTTCTTACACTCCAACCCTATTTTCAGAACTTTATTACTTAATTCTGCTCCTTTTAGTCCTGGAGAAAAAGCATCAGTGTCTACTGGGCAGAAATGGGGAGTATGGCAGAAAAGTGAGCCTTGGGTGGAGAGAGCAGATACAAGAGTGAGATAGTTAAGGTTTATTGTGCCAACCTGGCCAATAAACACATGTGGGATTAATTGAAGGCCGGAGAGACAACTGACTCGGTGAGCCTTGCCTTTCGAGTTCTCGGGTCCCTTGCTTTCTGATGGTTGGACCAGGGTGCAGCTGCCGTAGCCAGTTCCCTGCTTCAGCTGGCAAGGCTCACTTCCTACGAGAGATCCCTGAGGAGAAGCCACATGGACCTACCCCAATGCAGCCCTGGGTGCTGGCGCAGCCGTGTGGAGACCCCTGCCAGTGCTGAGATGCTCACACATTCACTGATTTGGCTTTCCTCCTGCAGTCGGCGTCATTGCATCTGTTTTGTGAGATGGAGGAGGACTTTGTGGATTGGTGTCAGACAAATAGGCTAATGTTGGACTTAGGGGCTTGGACAGCACTGGGTTGTGATGCTTTCTGAATGTACACTTACCCTTTATATAAAATTCTCTCTTATACATATATGCGTTTCTGTGGATTTGTTTCTCTAGTCTACCCAGACTAACACAAAGAGCTTGGTTGGAAATGGGGGAAAGGAAAAGATCAGCAAGGCGTGAGGTGATAAGAGTTTGGAGGGTAGGGTAGAGAGTGTGCTAGTGACTTCAGTGGAAGATTGTGGAAAGCAAGTTTTCTCAAATACTTAACATGCCAATGAATCCACCATTCGCTATTGTCTCTGCAGTAAAAATGTAGACAATGAAGGAAGGAAATTACTTCACATGGTGTGACATCCGGGTGATAAACTATGAGGACATGGCTTTCAGAATCAGAGTAGAGGTTCCAGAGGGGCTTTAGTTTCTCTCTCTACTGCTCAGTGCAGTCCTCCTTTTTATGCTTGGATCGCAATGAGAAGTGTGGCACTTGTGGGAAAATGATGGAAACGAGGCAGAAGAAAGTCAATTCCGGAAGCGACAAATTGAGAAGAGCACCAGAGGAAAATTAAGACCTTAACTCAGAAAAGAGACACTTAAAACCTTGGATGCTATATATTGAGAGGTCTATCTGGAGAGACTCAAATCAAAACTTCATGTTTGAATGGCCCCTAGGTTCAAGTTGCATAGCAGGTAGGTTAACTTGTAACCTGCAAAGAACGTGTACATATCTCCTTCCTGGGACACCACACCCAGATGGTTTTTGCTAGAGGTGAAAGATGCCTTTACCTTAGATGTCATAGATATGCTCATATTGGAGTCTTAATGGAAGTAAGTCTACTGGTAAGAGCTAGTGTTTACTGACAAGAAGAAGCATGTGAGAAAATACTAGAAGAGTAGGTAATGCAGACACATGGTGAGGTCAGGTAAGAGCTCTGTTTGTAGATCAAGGATATAATGATTTCAAATCCCTGGGTATGAGACTAGTAAGGATATGAATCCTTCCAAACAGATCAAAATGCAGATAAATTAGCATCACCATTTCCACTATGAAAATAATGACTTAAGGGGATGGCTCAGATAATAGAAACGCCAGCTGTGACCTTGACCTCTCCAAGAGTCCTCCCATTGAGATAAAAGCGTTGTTTTCTCAGCCCAAGGATGCTGGCTTCTCACGTAGCCAGGATATCAGCAGTCCTCTGGCCAGCTTCTCCACTGCTGGGAACACGTTCCTCACTCCCAACCCCACTGTTGAGGAGAAGACTTTCTGTGTACCGGGGAATGTGAACCTAAGTGCTGAAAAGCAGGGCCAGATTAAGATGTACATCAGCCAAGTGTGCCTCGAGACTGTGTCTCGTGGCTGCCCCTCATTTCTGCAGCAGGCAGGATTAAATTTGTTAATAAGCATGACAGCTATTAGTCACATGCTTGCCAAATCCGTTTCAGACATGAGGTTTCCTTTCCTATCAGAGGAAAGTGGCTGTGCTAAGGCTCAGGTTCTGAAACGGCTAATGAATTTGTCTGAAACGCCAGCCTTGGCAGGGGGGTGGCTCGAGGCCCACGGGCTGCTGTCATCCTTGCCCCTCTTTATCAGAAATGGAAACACGGAGAGTCTCCTGGATGCCCTGGGCCCTTAAATGGCCTGTCTCAAGCAGAAAGTGACCAAATCCAGCCAAAACCCGTTTGGTGAACCCACGCGCACCTACCTGTGTTCTCATCCAGGGGCTCTGCATTGGGTGCTGTAGAAGGACCAGCTTTAGCTAATCACCCCATTCACTGGGTGGAAGTGACAGTTGCCAAAGCGGGGACCACACACTCTCACTGACCAGCAGAGGTTCCCCCAAAGCTTGGAGTCGCAGGCTGCAGGCAATGTGCACTGCACACCCCTGCCTCGCAGCCTCCTCCTGGTGGGGAGGGGCTCCTCGCGGCTGCCAGCTGTGGGGAAAGAGCATACTAGCACAGTGGCACAGAGCAGTGCGGTTGCCTGTGGTGCCCTCCCTGTTCAAGCTGGACTGGCCTGTGGAGACCGGACGCCTACCCGAGCTTGTGCTGCAAGTGTATTTGTTGCTGTTCACATAGAACTCTTTTGAAATGTACTCTTTCTTCTTTGCGAGCTGACTATTCATCCAAAGCCTAGTCACACACCCCTTCTGTTGATTGTATTGACTTCACCCCACCCACCCACCCAAGCCATCATTTGTGTGTATCATCAATAAAGTTGTGTGCTTTGTTTGGCACACAAAGAGAGAGACATGGTCCCTGTCCTTGAGTTGACAGTCTGCATGAAGAGAAAGACAACAACACACGCGAAATGTGAATCAGCTGGGGCATTGGCTCCCTGACAGATGCATACATGCTCAATGGTGCTTATGCGAAGCAGAGGCCAAAGCGAGCTGCCCTGCTCAGCAAAGGCTTCAACAAGGGGCTGGGTCCAGGCCTGGGGAGATGAAGATGGAATGTACAGGAAGCAACCAGCCCAGTGCCTGGCACAGAAAAATCCTTCAGCCAGGGTGCATGTCCCTCATTCCTTGCTAAACTGGGGCCTAGAGACTAAGGTCAGCATGTTTGCGGCTTCTCTCCCCATCCTTCAGGTGGAGGGAACCCCCTGTCAGGCATCTGCGTGCTCTTAATATAACAATAGTGGTTGCCATTGACTGAAAGCCGACTGTGTATATTTCTAGCTCTTGAGCAAAGCAACAGTTAAACTCAGTTTCAACTCCCGTCCCTTCTGTGAGGTCCCCACACACAAATCCCTAGCAGAATGAGAAGTGTTGGCTTCTTCTACCTTTGGGGGAATCCCCTTTCTATCCTCTTCCGTGTCTTTCTAGTGGAATCTAGGGAGGAGCCTCTCCAGTGTCTTCACTTCACCCCATGCCATCAGCTGATTCTAGTTCATAGCAACCCTTTGGACAGAGTAGAACCGCCCCTGTGAGTTCCTGAGATGGTAAACCTTTACAGTATCAGAAAGCCTCTGCATTCTACCATGCAACAGCTGGTGGATTTGTAACACTCACGTTGTGGTCAGCAGCCCACTTAACAACCAACTGTGCCACCAGAGCTCGAAAGACAGGTATTCTAAATGGCTGCTTCCACAGGCATTGATGAAGGTTTTAAACACCTGTGGAAACAGGGTGGCATTGGGAAAACTTCATCAAAGGCCTCTGTAAATCTTTGTAAAAAGCAAAGATGCAGTGTTACAGCTCTTTTAGAATGTGTCTAGCAGGTTTTCTGTTTTTCCCCCCCATTTTCCGGAAAACCCCTTAAAAAAAAAAAAAAAAGCAAAGATGTCACTTTAATTTCTGCCCTGGTATTTTTAATTACCTCGTATGAACAATTACGAAGAAAGGCCAACAAAGAAACTACGCATTTGAATTGTAATCTTGAGGAGCAAGAATGAATCTACCCTGTGATACCAGAGGAATAAGTACATCTCTCTTTGAGGAAGTGCAGAATGCTCCATAGAAGTTAGAAGTGAGGATGGAGATACCAAATTGATTATTTTGGATATGTTATCAGAAGACACCACTCTTTGGAGAAGGACATTCTTGGTAAAGGGGAGGGCCAATAAAAAAAAAAACCCTCATAAGAATAGGACTTGATACAATGGCTACAGCATTAAGTTCAAACATACTATCGTGAAAATTGTATAGGACTGGGCATATAGGGTTGCTATGAGTCAGAGCCAACTCAATGGCTTCTAACAAGAACAACAAAAGCATTGCTATGACCTGTCCTTCCTTATGGGAGACATCATCATATATGCTCCACCCAAGTTGCTGTGTACTGACCCCTCCATGGTTACGAGCAGCTTGTTTGCTTTAACATTTCTAGACCTCTGCCAGCAAGTCCTAGCCCCTACATCATCAAAGGATATTAACCTTGGATTTTTCACGTGTCAAGAAAGTGTCCTTTTCCGAACCAACATGAAACATCTCTGCTTCCCCTATGCCAGATGTTGGCAGTGGGACTTCGGTGGCCAGTGCTATTCGCTGGTCTCTCTGGGATGTTACTTGAGTCCCCTCTGTGCTCCGGGAAACATTTACCTTTCAGAACTCTGCCTTCTGACTACACTCCTCCATATGGAACCTTATTCTATTTCGTCTTTTCTCCCTTGCACCAGAATTTGGGTTCCAGATTGGTTACACCTTTCCTTTTGTCTCATTTACCCCACACTTCAGCTGCTGCCACCTCAGATTGTCTTTGGGAACCCTCCAATTGAGAATGGAGAACTTGTCTCTTTTCAGGCCCTGGGATCTTCTTATTTTTTTTATTAAATACTTTTATTGGGAGCTCTTACATCTCTTATCACAATCCATACATTCATCCAGTGTGTCATTTGCACATATGCCACCGTCATCATTTCAAAGCATTCTCTTCCCACTTGAGGCCCTGATTTCAGCTCCCCATTTCTTCCCCCTCCCTCCCTCATCCAGGCCACCTCACAAACCCTTGATTAGTTATAGATTATTATTTTCATACCTTACATAGTCCTCCGTCACCCCTCACACACTTTTCTGTAGTTTGTCCCCCTGGGAAGGGGTTATGTATTGATCCTTGTGATCAATTCCCCCTTTCCACCTACCCTAATCCTCCTGGTATTTCGACTCTCATTGTTGGCCCTGAGGGGTTTAGCCTGGATTCCCTGTGTTGCAGGCTCTTATCTGTAGCAGTGTGCATGTTCTGGTCTAATCCAATTTGTAAGGTAGAATTGAGGTCATGATAGTAGGGGGAAGGAAGCACCAAAGAACTAGAGGACAGTTGTGTGTTTCATTGGTGCTATTCTGCATGCTGACTGGCTCATCTTTTCCCTGTGACCCCTCTGTGAAGGGATGTCCAATTGTCTACATATGGGTATTGGGTCTTCACTCCATGCTTCCCCTTTTCACATTGGGTATGATTTTGTTCTGGGTCTTAGATGCCTGACACCTGATTCCATGAACACCTCATGATGACACAGGCTGGTGTGCTTCTTCCATTTGGGCTTTGTTGCTTCTGAGCTAGATGGCTGCTTGTTTATCTTCACGCCTTTAAGACCCCATGTGTTATATATTTTGATAGCTAGGCACCATCAACTTTCGTCACCACATTTGCTTATGCACCCATTTTGTCTTCAGCGATAGTGTCAGGAAGGTGAGCACCACAGAAGGCCAAATTATTAGAACCAAGTATTCTTGTGTTGAGGGAGTACTTGAGTCGAGGCCCAATGTCCATCTCAAACCTTAATTGATCATCATCCTTTTTCAAATAATTAGAAAAACTGATTAGGGACTCCACATGGAAAGGGAAGAAGCCCAGAATTAGCAGAGAACGCCTCAAGAAGACGGGCAAGGTTGGAGGGCTTGCTCTGCCTGACTTTAGCACATATTATAAAGCCCCACTGGTCAAAACAGTGTGGTACTTGTATAACTACAGGTATTCAGACCAATGGAAAAGAGCTGAAAACCCAGAAATAAAAGCATCAGCATACAAACAACTGATCTTTGATAAGGGCCCAAAAAATATCAAATGGGAAGTGGATGTCCTCTTCAATAAGTAGGGCTGGAATAAATGGATATCTACCTGCAGAAAAATTAAGCAAGACCCTTATCTCACTCCATGCACAAGAATAAACTCAAGGTGGATCACAGAACTTGAGGTAAAACCCCAAACTATTAGGACCATTAATGAGGGAATTGGGACAAACCTGAGAACCTTGGCACAGGGAATACATAGGCTATAGGAAATTGGGAAGAATACAAATACAGAGGAGTCACAAATAGACAAGTGGGATATACTAAAGATAAGTCACCTGTGTACACTGAAAAAATTCACCAAGAGAGTAATAAGAGAGCCCAACGACAGGTAAAACATCTTTAGCAATGACACATCAGACAAAGGCCTTATTACTAAAATCTACAATCCTTTTCAAGCTTACAATAAGAAAAAAACTAACTGCCCATTGAGGAGGTGGGCAAAGGACCTGAACAGAAGTTTCACATGGGCAGAAATCCAAATGGCCAATAAACATATGAGAAAATGTTCCGGATCAATAGTCATAACAGAATGCAAATTAAAACATCTATCAGATACCACTGAACACCCTCAAAGATAGCCCTATCCAAAAAATCAGAAAGTAACCAGTGTTGGAGGGGATGTGGGGAGATAGGAACTTTCGTCCACTGCTGGTGGACATGTAGGTATGTACAGTCACTATGGAAATCGATCTGGCGATATCTAAAGCAGGTGGAAATTGAGCTACCATACGACCCCGCAATCCCCCTACTGGGCTTATACCCAGAAAAGGCAAGAAACAAAACATGGTCAGACATCTGTGCTCTAATGTTCATCACAGCACAGTTCACAATTTCAAGAAGTTGGAAATAACCCAAATTTCCATCAGCAGACGAATGGATAAAAAAAACGGTAGTACATACGTACAATGGAGTGCTATGAATCCCTAAAAAGCAGTGATGAATGCATGAAACACATAGCAGCATGGGAAGACCTGGAGGAAATCATTCTAAGTGAAGAAATCCAAACACAAAAGGACAAGTACAACATGAGTCCACTGAGGTAACCTTAAAACAAAAAATGGGACATAAGGGGAAAGCTACTATATGCATACATTTCCGGGGGTAGGTTCAGCAACTGTGGCAGG